TTAACTAGTAATAATGTGGTTTCTTGCAGTTGAGGCGAAAGAAGTACCATATGTTGTTATTAGTAACGTGGACACATTACAGGTTCAGTAGGAGTGCTGATTTGATCGCATTCGCTCTTTTCCTAATGAGCTTCCGGTACTTCATACACTTCTGCACTCACATAAACTGCTTTTTCAACTATATCTAGGTGGCAGAGTCAGCTTTGTTTTACTGACTCTGCCACTATAAAGGATTCAATATTTCACAGGGTTAGGATGTCGCTCCAAACAAGGCCTATACAAATATGCTTTTGTGGTAATTTCCGTATTTGGATTGATTCATCTCACAGGCAATGTTTTGGCTTAAGCTTTAGGCTGCCAGAAGGATGCCTTGTTTAATACTTCACTAAGTGTTACCCGTTTTGCTGTTGGATAGTAAACTCATCTGGTAGGGGGAAGAATACGCAAACTCGGCTTGTTGTTGCTGGTTTGCTTTTGTTCACCCGGCTAATACAGAAACAAGCACACCGAGAACAGTCTAACGGCCAAGAAGGTGAAAACCCTGCACTCTATACGATCCGCTGCTGTCTGTTGAATCACTTGTAACCTTTCGTGTAGACGGTGCCAGATATGAACTAGCTTCTAAGAAATGTAACAAATTTATAATATTCCAATTTACCACCGTCCAGTAAATTTTCATACTATCTGTACTGTGGTGGGAGTACTTTTACTTCATAGTTAGTGTGTTGTACCATCACGCGTGACAAAAACACGCAACTTTCATGTAAGTTTCTACTTTATGGAATACCGCAGGTTTCTGGTGTCAGATCCTAAACGGTAAAAAATCCTTAAAATGCACTGGACGATAGAAGATTTTCCATACCACTGCTTCTCAAACTGTAGGGACAGGGAGGCAACAAAATCTGAATAAATCCAATGTGTGGCACTTGGGACGCCAGAGGCATATAGGAATTGGTAGTGCCATGTGTGAATTTAGCATTCTCCTTCCTTCTCCCTTGGAATTGCGCTATATACTATATAGCACAACTTGCGTAGCAAAACACTTTTAGTGACGATAAAGTGTCAAACTTTGTTGGAAAAAGCAACAGAAAAGATGGAGCCTGCAAATTGATGGTGAAATTAACACGTAGGTTTTGGCTGGAAAGTTGGCGTTTTGGAGTACTCTCTTTAAGTTTTCTTCTAAAAGGGCAGTCAATGGCTTTCTTCTCATGGTCTCACCATCTTTGCTCCCTTGGTCTGGATAAGTCTTCATGTTCCCATGCATTTTCTCAAAAGCTACTAAACTAGTCGAGAAACTTCGATAGAGTTGTCTGATTAGGACAGTTCTCACATTAAGTGAATTACTATACCGAGTCACGTGGAATCAAAATATCGGGTGTTTCATATTTCTATCATGAGAGCTAACCTCACGGATAACGTGTTCTAGATGCCTTTTGCACAAGTTTTTCTCTTAAACCAATAGGCAACGCATTTTACTCTTTCTTTCTAGACTGGGGCTATCTAACCAATGCAACTCTCATATTGAGCGGACCAACATTGGGTCGAGTGGAACTAAAATACAAGGAATTTCATAATTTTGTAAGAGTTACTTAACAAATGACGTGTTTTGGATAACTCTGCCTAAGTTTTTTCCCTAAACCAATAGGCAATGCATTTTACTCTTTTTCTTTGTGGACTGGCCAAATTAGCATGGGTTTAGTATTTATATTTAATAAACTAACGCTAAACAAATAGCATGGGCTGGCCACCATAACTGAATAACTGAATTAAGCAACGAATCTTACATTTTTTTTCTGCTTTTCTCTCACCTCCCCCATGAAAGTTCTAACACTGAAACTCTAGAGAGAGAGAGTGAGAGATAGTGAGAGAAAGATTGCAACTTTTCACTCTATATATTCAGGAAGAGAGAACCAAAAGAATTCCCTTCTTCCTCCCTCTCTCTCTTCCCTGCATCTCCCAAATCATTGGAGGCCTCGAAATCTTTCTCGATTCTTGCTCCATTCAACAAAAACTAAGATTCTAAGACAACCCCTTTAATTCTTTACCAAAAGAAACCGAAAAATGTCACAAGAAAGAGTGCATCTCTTGGCATTAGTACTAATCCTTCTTGTTTTCGTGACAATGGTCGAAAAAGGTGCGGCCTTTGGAGTGAACTGGGGAACAATGGCAACGCACCAGCTCCCGCCGAAGAAAGTTGTCCGGATGCTGGAGGACAACGGATTCAACAAGCTGAAATTGTTCGAAGCGGACGGAAGGATATTATCCGCTCTCATAGGGACTAAAATTGAGGTGATGCTGGCAGTTCCCAATTTTATGTTGCAGGAGATGAGCCAGGATCCGGTGGCTGCAGATACATGGGTGGATGCCAATGTCACAAGTTACTGCTACTCTGGCGGAGTGAATATCAAGTTAATTTCTTCATTTTTTTCAATGTTTTTCATGCTTTTGCCCCATGATTCTGAAGCAGTTATTGTTTCCCTTTGATTGCTTTCTTTTATTCTGTTTTTTAACTGTTTACTACTGCTACTTGTTTGTAACATGTCTGAATGAGTCAATCCTTTTACTGTGTGAGTCGATTTTTAAGGGCAAGTTCTACCCATGTGCTTATATAACCCGAGACTCGGGTTGAGTTGATTCTAGGACCTTGTGAAGGAATACTCTTTGCAGTTTTATTCTTTTGCAGAATAATTGCCCAAAAGATGGAAAGGAATGGAGCTCAGGGGCAAGGGGGCGGGCACACTGCCCTAGCCAACTGACCTAACTCACGTGTCTGTTTTATTTGTTACGGTGACTGTTACTTGTTTCTGAAAATGTCTCCATGATTGTTGTGGAATTTGGTTTTTTCAGGTATGTTGCAGTTGGAAATGAGCCCTTTCTCAAAACATACAATGGTACCTATCTCCAAACCACGTTACCGGCTCTCAAGAACATACAAGAAGCCCTAAACAATGCAGGACTTGGGTCACAAGTCAAAGCCACCGTCCCCTTCAACGCCGACATCTACTTCTCCCCTGATTCAAACCCTGTTCCATCTACTGGAGACTTCCGGCCTAAAATTCGAGACTCCATAATCAAGATCCTCCAGTACTTGAACACCAATGAGGCACTATTCACAGTCAATATCTATCATTTTCTCAGCCTCTATGGCAATACCTATTTTCCTTTCGGTTTTGCATTTTTCGATGGAACAAGCAAGCCCATTAAAGATGGTAACCTACTGTACACCAATGTGTTTGATGCAAACTTTGACACCCTACTTTGGTCTCTCACCAAAGCTGGTTTCCCCGAAATGAAGATCATAGTTGGAGAAGTGGGCTGGCCAACTGATGGTGACATAAACGCGAATATCGGCAACGCAAAGAGGTTCAATCAGGGAATGATTCAGCATGCCCTGAGTGGAGACGGAACCCCAGCAAGGAAAGGCAAACTCGATGTATACCTCTTCAGCCTCATTGACGAAAACATGATGGGAAGCCGAAATATAATTTGGATTTGTCAGGCACTATGCAAAACAAGGCCATGGAAGCTGTAGAAGATGTGGAATATATGCTGAGGAGTTGGTGTATTTTGGACCCAAAAGTTAAGTATTTGGATGATTTGGCTAAAAGCATGGATTATGCTTGCACACTCTCAGATTGCACTTCCTTGGGATATGGAAGTTCTTGCAACAATCTCAGCCTCCAAGGGAATGCTTCGTATGCATTCAACATGTACTACCAGGTGAACAACCAGAAGAGCTGGACGTGCAATTTTTCGGGTCTCGCTGTGGTGACCGATAAGGATCCTTCCGTTGGGGACTGCGAGTTTCCAGTGATGATTTCGTATGCTGCTCCATCAGTGTTGTTGCATAGCAGGGGAGTTTTGCATTTTGTGATGAAAATTGTTGGAGGGTTTCCGTTGTTTTTGATGATTCTGCTATGACATAAAAGCTTTTAGGAAGCCATGGTTTCAAAGTATAGAACTTTTTTTTCTCTTATTTTCTTACATTGATTCTACAATCTTTATAATGTAGTGGACTCATAAGTTTAAATGTGAATTATTTCTATGACTTTGGAGTTTGCATTTATGAATACTTTTATTGTGACGGTCATACAGAAAAATTTCTTGCAATAAGAAGAATCTTCATTTCCGTTTTAATGAGGAGAATTTTCACTTCCGTTTTAATCATGTACAAGACTTTAAGATAAATTTGCAAAGAGCTTATGGTTTAAGTGATGAAGAGCATTTAACTTTGTATTCGGATAACTGTAAGTCAAACGTGATTAATAGCATCTTTGCATTTGAGGTACTCTATTCAGATTTCCTCTCCTCTAGTATCGTGCTTGTTTTTTTTTTTTTGAAAGAATGATAATGGATTAGGCGAGTCGAGCTACGCATAAGGCTTGACCGTTGGACTACAATAGTAAAAACCTTACTCTCTAAGCCTGCACAATGCAAAAAGAAAGAATCAAGACTCTAGAATTAGCCTTCAACTACATGTAGACTACTTCCTTTCCTCTCAAAGCGATTAAAAAGGCCTAACTCCCTAACATAATAACCTCCTCCCGGTCACCTATATCCGAGTTTATTAAATAAAGAAAAGTGAAAATAAAAGAATACAAGCTGGGGGACGAAAAATAGGACAAAACTCAAGGGCACAAGCATTGGCGGCAACTGCAAAATTTGGAATAGTGGATCACCAATAATAAGCACCACCAGCCACGACAAAAGAAGTTAGGGCATCAACAACTTGATTACCCTCTCAATATTGAAGGTAAACTCTCAATATAAAACGATTTTGTTTGAAAGGACGATATCTGCGTAATTTAATCTAAATTACAAAGCAACTAGTACTACGTTCCACTTATATTTATTTTTACTGGTATCTAAAAATTCGACTCTTATAAATGACATATTTGATACGGAATTATGACTAGTTTTGTACCTAAATAAGAAGATTAGATTTAACTTTTTTCCTAATTAGCAACCTTGGTTGATATTCAGCCCATAGCTGAACCTCTATTTACGTTTCTGACCCATTTCCTTCCCTACCACCGAACTCGAATCATAAACCGAAAATTTCACCACCAATGACCCCCATTTCCTTCTTCGATTGTTCAGCCTCCATTAATTCCATAAATTATACATTCATACATATAATCTCCATTTCTACAATTTTTTCTTTGTAATTGTAAATTTCTTGCAAAATTAGCGATAAAAGTAAAGAAATGCAAGGGAAATCCGGCCAATCGTCGTTCCGAGATCGAACGCAGGAGTTTCAGAGCGTCACGGATAGGCTTCGTAAGTCGTTCGCGCCATCTTTCAATGGGCCGTCGAGCAGCGGCAGCAGTGGTGGGAAGCTCGACGGACCTCGATCTGCGGCGTCGGTTCAATCGGAGTTCAACAAAAGGGCTTCCAAGATTGGGCTCGGGATTCACCACACTTCCCAGAAGCTTGGAAAGCTCGCACAATGTATGTCAAGATGCTCTTTCCCAAATCAATGCTTTTTTTGTATAATCCCAATTATATATGCCTGATTAGTGTGTTAATTATGCTAATGGATGTGTAAATTGGGATCAATATGCTTAATTAGTGTGTTAATTATGCTTAGAGAGGATCAGGACGCTAAGCAAAAGTTTGTGATGGAATTAGAATATGAATAAGCTGGTAATTCAAGGCTGTACCTGCCTATACAATATGGACAAACAAAACCCTTTCAAACTTTTAATCGAAAATAGAACTTGGTGATGCTAAACAAACAATAACCCGTATATAAACCACGATTTAGTGCACTTTATTGTTTGTTTAGCGTCTCTCCGGTCCAAAAGGGGTATCTTGTTTCTAAACACTGATGTTTAATGAAGTACTGCTTTGTGATTAGTTTACTTAAGTTGAAATCCATGCTGATATTTGGAGCGATCTGCGCTGAAATATTTGCTTTGGTATTCGCCAGTGGCGAAAAGGACATCGGTGTTTGATGATCCCGCTCTGGAGATCCAAGAGCTGACAGCAGCTATAAAACAAGACATTACTGGACTTAATTCAGCACTGATAGAGCTGCAGCTGCACTGCAATTCCCAGAACGAAAGTGGGAACATCTCGAGTGACACCACGACTCATTCAACCACCGTTGTAGATAACCTGAAGAACCGGTTGATGAGTGCTACGAAGGAGTTTAAGGAAGTTCTGACCATGCGGACAGAGGTATACTGTATGTCTTGCACTGCACATAATCCTCGTCAGTTTTTCTGTTTACTGCAATCTAAGTTCCTTGTTTGTTATCTGTGTGGCAGAATTTAAAGGTTCATGAAAATAGGAGGCAGTTATTTTCTTCAACCACTTCGAAAGAGTCAACAAATCCGTTTGTTCGTCAACGTCCTGTGGCTGCCAGATCAGCTGCTAATGCATCGACAGCTCCTCCTCCATGGGCCAATGATTCTGCATCTTCGTCACAGTTATTTCCTAGGTAAATTTCCCATCAGGCATCACTATGTTTTACGGAAGTAGGTATTGAAAGCATATTTGTTTCATTCTTAAGGCAAGTTCCTAGGTAAATTTCCCATCAGGCATCACTATGTTTTACGGAAGTAGGTATTGTAAGCATATTTGTTTCATTCTTAAGGCAAGTTCTTATCAGGTGCCTCGACCTCCAATATATATTTGAATCTTCTGTTTTCGGGTTCCCATATGTCACCATCTTCCTAATGCTACATGTGGATGTAGTGAAATGTATATCATAGATCCATGTTTTCAGTTTGACATGTCATCGGCATTGGTATGTATTTTTTTTCAGGAAGCAAACAGATAAGGAATCTCGACCATTATTGCAGCAGCAGCAGCAACAGGTAGTAGAACAACAAGACACCTATATGCATAGCCGCTCTGAGGCTCTTCAGAACGTGGAGTCAACTATTCACGAGCTGGGTAACATATTTACCCAATTGGCAACCATGGTTTCGCAGCAAGGAGAGCTTGCAATCAGGTTTGTTGTTTGGCGGTCATGCTAGAAAGTACATGTGTGCATTCAGAAGTCTTCACTGAAAGAAAACACAAACTTGTAGAATAAATGTTTGTTTAAATGCTTAAAATACCAATGCATGGGGCTCATCCTTGCTCACTCATGTGGTTGTCAGGATTGACGAGAGCATGGACGAGACGCTGTCCAACGTGGAAGGAGCGCAAGGGCAGCTGGCCAGGTACCTTAACAGTATATCATCCAACCGATGGCTAATGATGAAGATATTCTTTGTACTTATTCTATTTCTTATATTTTTTGTATTTTTTGCGGCATAAGGATAATAAAAAAAAAAATATACGAAGCAAAGTAACAGAGCTATGCTTTCTTTTATAGACATCCGGTATTCATCTTGTATTTTCTATCATTTGATGTTCAAAAATTGGCATATAGTACATAAGAATTGCGACGGAAAGTGTAAAGTAATTTTGACAATATTTCTTGGATTGGATTGTATTCTAGATATGGGAACTGGTACACAATCTAGTTTTGACAACGGTCATGATAACAAACGGGAATGAGTTATTTAGAAACTTAGCTGTTAGCAATCACGTCATACTTCTCACATGCTAGTCGTAATGGTCACTTGTTGAGACATCCATTGTATACAGTTTTTGTTGGGAAGATTTTTCCACACCTTAAAGCGGATGTGCGACGCTGCTGGGGATTGTATGCAGTTTTTGTTGCAGAAGGACATAAACATTGCAGCACTTGCTTGTTGGCCCTGGAAATGCAGTCTCTGAATTAGGGAGCTCGAGCGATTTGTAGTGCATGGTAATCTTATCCCACATCAAGAAATCTATTCATTTATGAAACCTTGGACTTCAGAATACCCGTGATTCGGCTGCCCAGGCACTAGGAAAGGACTTAGTAATGGCACTTGGTGCGCCACTGTATCATCCGGGACCAATGATATTGTGTTGTGTTTTAATTTTTCACATTACAATGTGCTATTGGCTCAGGATGTCACGGTAGCTTACCGAGAATGTAGGTATGTTTCTTTCCAGAATTAGATAGGGGATAACGTTACGGTAACGCAGCACAAGCTCCGAAATTCAAACGGTTAGCGGGAATTTGAATTTGAAATTTCGTAACGGCCAAATAATCTCCGGGCCCACCCTTTTCCTTTGCAAATACCGAGTAGAGACTACTACTTCTCCACAGATTCAACCCTCCACCTTCTCTCTCCGTCTCTCTTAGACGCACAACAATGGCGTCGCTCACTCCAGGAATCCTCCTGAAGCTCCTCCAGTCAATGAACTCCGCCACCAAAGTCACCGGCGACCACCGCTCTGCCCTCCTCCAAGTCATCGGCATAGTCCCCGCCCTTGCCGGCTCTGACCTCTCGTCCAACCAGGGCTTCTACGTCCAGCTCTCCGACTCCCTCAACTCCACCTACGTCTCCCTCTCCGATCAGGACACCGACCTCATCCTCACAAACCGCCTCCAGCTCGGCCAGTTCGCCTACGTCGACCGCTTCAATTTTGACTCCCCCGTCCCACGCGTCCTCGGTATCCGCCGCATTGCAGGCCGCCACCCCTTTCTTGGTACCCCAGAGCCCCTTGTGGCCAGATTCTCTACCTCAAAGCGCGAGTTCGTGATCCAGCCCGTGTCGGATTCTGACCAGTCCGCCGATTTCATGGCGATTTACCTGTCCAATAAGCAGCAGGAGCAGGTTGTGAGGAATGACAACAAAGAAGCCAAGATTGAGAAGGCACGACCATCAAGGCAGCCTCTTGCTCCTCGAGACAATGTCAATACGGGAGGGAATTTGAATTCAAATTCAATTTCGGATGAGGCTAAGAAGATCTCAGATCGGCCGGCTTCCAGGTTTTCGTCTCCGGCAGGTGCAAAGAGGTCTGTTTCTGTCGGGAAGAAGAACCCTGCATCGGCCGAGAGAGATCCATCGCTGGCAGGAAAAGGAAAGAGATCGGGATCTCCAGCCCCCTCGAAATGCGTGGTTCCAAGCTTAATTGTGGCGAAGGAAGAGGATAGGAAGGCGTCGAAAGAGGCGGCGATTATAGTGCCGTCAAGGTACCGACAGCCGTCCCCGGTTGGGCAGCGGAGGCAGCCTTCGCCGAATGCACGGAGGGCTTCGCTTTCTCCCGGGAGGCGGTTGTCCGGAGGAGTGAAGGACTCTGCTGCCAAGAAGAAGATGGCAGGTATAGTTGCAGGGATTTCGAAGGTTTCGGAAGCCCTCATTGGGTCTGGAAAGGGTAATCGAAAGGGCTGGGATGAGTCGCCGGCGGTGGAGCAGAAAGAGAAGCCTGCGGCGAAGAACAAACCAGATTTGCAGTCATTTATAAGGACTCAGGTAGTTTTTCCCTGTGTGTGTCTGGATTAAAAAATTTGAATTACTTACCGCTCTGCATATTCCGATTCTGTATTCTGAATTCTGTCTTCGCAGGCTGCCCTTGCACGACGATTAAGCGATGCGAAAGGTGGAATTCCGAACGGCGGTGATGATTCTTCCAGCAATGAGAAAACGAAATCAGGATCACTGAAAGATTTGGTGGTCCAAGAGAGACCCAGCTGTGCAGCAGCTCCGGGCATCACTGTTCATGGAAAAAAATGGACTGATGGAAGTGTCTCACTTGATGCAGTCTCTTCAGACCTTGCAAGGCTTGGAAAGGTATAGTCTTTGGCATTAGATGCCAACTTGGGCGAGCTTTATTTTCGATGCAAATTGCATTACCCAAATAGTTTGATCAATATGGACTAAGTTCTAAACCGAATCGAATTGCAGGAAGCTTTGCAGAGGAAAGTTCTAGCTTCTGCAGCCGCAGCTGAAGCTCTGGAGGAGGCCATTGCTACTGAGTCTCTAGTGAGGAAATTAAGGTAGTTTTATCATTCTGTTCTTGTGGCCTTAAATTTGTTTAAGGACTTGTTCTGCCGCTGTCGTTGAATTCCACTATCCTTTTTGTGTCGCAGCATGTTTGCAGAACTCGCTTCTACATCCAAGGTTGGGAGCCCTCTACCCGCCATTGACCGCTTCTTTTCGATCTATGATGAAGTTGTTAAATCGACCACACTTACTGAATCAATTGCTAGTAACCGCAATTCAGATACATGTTACAATGATCAAATTCCCACTGAGCAATCGAAACCTGTTTCACTTTGGGTCGAAGCTGCCTTAGCTACTGATCTCAGCGTTGTCTCTCTCCTTGCCGCCCAAGACAATGAAACTCCATCGGCTTTGCAGAAAAGTCTGTCAAAAAGACGATACACACCTGCCAAATCCCATCTCAAGATTTCCCCTTCTTCACCGCAGTCCACTGCTGGCGTTGGAACATGGATGAAGGGTCATGGAATGAAGGAGACAGTCGAGCTTGCAGTAAGTCTGCAATCCGAGATGCAAATGTGGTTTCTGCAGTTTGTCGAGAAGGCTCTGGATGCCGGTTTCCGAGTGTTTGGAGAGTGCGCTGCAAATGGCGGTAAATTGCCTATCGACTGTGGCTCCATTGCAGCTGTTCTATCGCAGTTGAAGCGAGTGAATGAGTGGCTGGATGGAGTCGTCTCGAGAAGGAATGAGCTGAATGAGAAGGTTGATGGGCTGAAGAGGAAGATCTACGGCTTTGTTATTCAACATGTTGGGACGACGTTCGACAACCCCACTCCTCTTGCTTCTTCTTCCTCTTGATTCCATAATTTTAATATATTTTGGTCTCTATGTTAGTCTCCATCTTTTCTAATTGTATTCCCAATTTGTCACAACTGCTTGATGTGGTAATCGCTATTTTGCAAAGAATTCATTCGAATTGTTGTTTTTCTTGAGTAAGTCCACAAAATAAGCTTGTTGGATGAATGAAGATACTCTACATTCTAATTAAGTGATATCATTATGTGAGCGTCTCATCCAGTACGAATTCAGTTTGTGGGACGAACTTGTGAGCTCTATCAACGAAGAAATTGAGATATATCATTTGAGAGTCTCACATATCACGTAAGTACACGTGATTTATCCCGTAACTTCATTATTTGAGCTCACCTTAATCAATTCAACCTTATGAAATTATGGGTTAAATTACATTTTATCCTATCGAATTTGCGTCCAATTACAACTTCATGTCATTGTTAAAACGTTTCAAAATAAACTTATTTTTAAGTTGCAATTATATAACCGTTAAAAATCTGTTAATATGACCAGCCGGACAACGGCAACGGCGACCGCCGGAAGAGCTTCCCAGGGCGACATGCCCTTGCCGCCATGATCGCCGAAAACGGTGCGGGCTCGCTGGATACGATTGAACAGCCCGATGAGAAAAGTGGGTCCAAATCATATGCATGGAAGCCAGATGCCTCTCTTATCCTGACCGCTCCCTCACCCACCCACACGAAAAAAACCCTTCCTTGCAAAAATCCAAGCCAATCGGCCCCATGCCGAACCATCCATCTCCACCGCACATCAAAATCTCCAACGTAAGCCCATCCAACGGCTAGGATTCACTCACACCCCAGTACGAGATTCGTATATAAAACCCCTCACAGATTCACACGCCCTCTGCCCGTTCGGGTTGAAAATCCTCCGACTCTTTCACTCATCAGCCGAGCTCACCGAAACGTGCCGTTTCGTGCTCTTCCCTCTCTCAGATCTTCACCAACCTCAAAGCACCAATCTGCGAATCCAAAATCCCTCTCAAAACCCTAAATCCATTTCCCTCCATCATTTCCGATTTTGCCCTACACATCCCGCCTGAGCTCCGTGACCAAAGCCGTAATTCACATAAAGCCCGCCGTTTGGCGACGCGGATAACTCTGCCTTCTGGACTTTGCGGAGGGGGTGAGAAATGGCGGGAGGCGCGAGCAGGAAGGACGAGTCGGTGGTCCTGAACAGCACCAATGTTTTTGCGGCTCTTGGGAGCTTGAAGAAGAAGAAGAAGGGGGACAAGAGCTCGTCCAAAAGCTCGAAAGGCGGCGGCGCAGCTCAGGATTCTGGGGAGGCGGAGAAGGAGGTCTTTTGGGCGCCGGCGCCCCTTATCGCGAAGTCGTGGGCCGATGTCGATGACGAGGACGATGACGACTACTATGCAACTACAGCTCCGCCGGAAATGGGTTGGGCCGGTGAGGATTCGAAGGCGGCGAAGGAGAGCGAGCTGGAGGCTGAGCATGCGGAGGCCGGCGAATTGGTATCTTCTTTGAGCTTTTGTTTTTGTTTTTCGTGATCTTGTTTTTGGATAGTGCTAAATTTGGAAAATTTATTGCATATGTGTATGCCTGTGTGTAGAAATGTGGATTAGTGTGGATATATCTCTTGCTGTTTTCAAATATGATCGGATTCCGCTCATGATGCAGTAAAAACTGTAGAAGGAGGTGATATTTTGTTTGTTTGTATTAATTGATGAGGAAATAACTGATAGGTACCCTGTGGTTTTGCTTGTGATATCACCAATTTTCGTTCAAGCAATTAGATTTGGTAGTTCTTATCTACTTTTGGATTGAATGAGATGATGATTAGTGAAGGGTTTTATATGATAAAATTTGGCAGGAGTTACGGAATTTATTGAATGTTCTTGTCTAATTTGGATCGTTCTGTCAATCATTTATTTTAACGGTAGTGGATGCGGATCATTTAACAGTAGTAGTTACTGCATTCTCTGTAAAGGGTTAAAATCTACTACGTTTCTCCTACACGTGTTAGTTCACCGTATCTTTTATAGAGAATGCAAATCTTTTAAGGTTCAGTCGTTACTGCTTTCTATGTAAAGGCTGAAAATCAACTCTGTGTGGCTACATGTGTTAAGTCACCCCACGTTTTATAGAGAATGAGATCTTTTGAATCCCGATCGTTACTGCATTTTATGTAACGGTTAAAATGTACTCTACTTTGCCTGCAGACGATAAGTCACCGCATCTTTGATGTTATGACATGGTTTGTTGTGGCTTTCGCGGAGAAAGTTGATTTGTCTTTTGGCCACCTTCACGTGTGGAGTTGAATTTATTGTTCCGTTAGGAAGTTGCTGTATCCCATTTGTCAGTAACCATGGATTATCCATGATCTGTGTCCTTTAAACGCCCGGAAATTGCTATATTGTATTGGGTGTGGCTGACCAACTGATAGTTTTCTTCCTGTTGCTGTCACGAGACAAAAACCATATCCACACGTGGATATGTGTTTCATTGACATGGTTCTCGTTCTTTAGTGTGGACCCTATAAAATTTGTTTCTTCTGTTGTTTTCATCATGGTATTTTTTGGTGCATATGTTAGAGAATGAATTGGTTTTCTGTAATCAAAACATAATTACGAGACTAAGTGATTGCCTTGTAAGGAGCTTAGGCAGTTTCATTGTGGAAACACAGTGTATATCCCAGGTTTCCAAAAAAAACTTGGTCTTGATTACTGATTTGTTTTTGGTGGACGGAACCGACCAGGTGACTGATTCGAAAGGCCCTGATCTGTTTGTGTTTGGTGGATTTTGGACAATCAGTCTTTGGTCTTTGAAAAAATGAACTACAATGCCATTTCATGCCTACTATGCATCCTTGTTATCAAATGTATAAACCTTAGGTGTCAAGTAGATCGGTATTTGAAATGCATATTGCCAAAACTTTTGCTGATAATTGAAAAGTATTTCTTTTATGTCTGAACAACATCCAAAACGTGTTTTTATATTGTGTGTGTGTGTGTATTTAAGGGTACTTATGCTTCTCTATTCAGCTGTAACAATTATTGTCTTCTTTGAAAGTCAACTTCATCTTTCTTACAACGAAGATGTCATTTTTTTTCCTTTTCAATCTCCAAAATCATATGAGTCGGTACTATTCCTCTGGTTATATTGTGGAATTCTTATATTTAGCCCGATTTCCAGGAAAGTGAAAGTGAGGAGGAAGGTGGTGATGAAGTTGATGATGTTGATGAGGAACATGAAAATGAACTTGAAGCCCCATTGGAAACTGAGCCAGTTAAGAAGCTCCCTGAACCTTCTCCAGCCCCCAAGGATACAGAAAGGCAGCTTTCTAAGAAGGAACTGAAGAAGAAGGGGCTTGAAGAACTTGAAGCAGTTCTTGCTGAGCTAGGATACCCTACCAACACCGAGACTAGTGGCCAAGATGATTCCAGTGGTAATATAGTTTATATGAACAAGTTTCTGCATGCCAGTTATCGTTTTGTAACTGCTTATCTGTCTTATGATTGTTTACATAGCATCAATGCAAAATGAGTATCAGTTTCCAGAAGCTTAAATACTTACGCTAAATGTGCTCAAGTTTTCATGGAGTAAAACTAACTTTTGGTCTCTCTTTAAAATTCCTTTATTAGGGGTTTCATCAAATTTGATCTCTTTCATGGAATCATGATCCTTCTACTTTTGCAGCTTCCTGTCATATTTGATCAATTCAATTTTTGTTATTTCTTACACGAGCCTTATTTGGCCCTACCTTTGCGTGCAGGTGTTACCCAAGAGAAGAAAGTAGAGAATCAAAATGGCGATGTGGACAAGAAGGAGAATGCCACTGGCGAGAGCAAAAGTGCTAAAAAGAAGAAAAAGAAGGACAAGTCATCGAAGGAGCCAAAAGAATCCCAAGACCAGCCCGATGGCACAAATGGTGGAAGTACAGCAGCAGATGAAAACACTGGGACGGATAAGGGAGAAGATGCATCTTCTGGTGATGTTAAAGAGCGGCTAAAGAAAGTGGCGTCCATGAAGAAGAAGAAGTCAAGCAAAGAAATGGATGCAGCCGCTCGAGCTGCTGCAAGTGAAGCTGCTGCCAGGAACGCTAGGCTAGCTGCCTCGAAGAAAAAAGAGAAGAATCACTACAATCAGCAGCCAGTGCGGTAAGCTGGCTATGGATCTTAAGTTTTTGTTCCATTATTTTGTTTCTCCTATATGAACTTGTACTTTTGTTTATTTGTTGAATGGAACAATAAACCTTTTCGGAACTAGTTTTGCGAACTTTACTGTCGAGAAGATAGTTCTTTTACTTAACAGGAAGAAAGGAAAAGTAATGGTTATATTTTCTTACTGTTGTCCCGTTCTTATAGTCAGAATTTTGTTTTCTAGTAGGCACTATCTTCCTTTTTCTAGGGCAACCTCTGTGGGCATGTCCTAATTCTTGAGAACATTGTCGAGTTTGCTTGGAACGGGGAAAGTCATAAATCGAGGACCGTAAAAATGATTGGAAATGAGACCAACAAGGGGGTTAATGCAGGGGAAGTCGGGAATCAAAATGATTTTAACCTATGTTGTGGTAAATGCGATGAATTAAGAATCAAAATGATTTCAATTTCTATTCTCGCCAAGTAAACATGTTGGGTAGCGTGCCTGTCTGGCTCGTCCTTTCCACACTTAAAAAGAAAGTTAAGAAGGTTTCATCGAAATCAATTAGCGTCTGGAGAGTAGCCTAACTCCTTATAAATTATTGCAGGGTTTCTTAACTTCTTGATAAGAGAGTCCTTCACATTTTCACAACCTTGAGATTAAAAGGGAGCATACAAGGAATTCTTCACCTTGAGGTAAAACTGTGGATTTATTTCATAAAATCTGAGCCTTTGGTTTAAATCCAAGGGTCAGAAACAGTAATCCACAACAAATCCCAAGTAATGCTGTTTATGCTCATAAGTAACATTAACAATCATCCTAATAAGAATGAAAAGATACAAAATTCTGTGGTAAAATCCCTGGTCCCTTTTAGAACCACTCCAACATGGCTGAAATCGCTAGATATGCATGTACCTTAAAAATTTGATCCCCCAAAAGATTTTACGCAATAAATAACATAACAATCGATATCACCGTACCCTTTGAACTCAGAAGGACTGAATGTGAGAGCCAG